GGAGGAAAATAATTAGAAACACCAGAAATTTCTCTTACCGGGATTAGGCTCTAAAGGCAAAGGTGCACTCTTGCTTAATGACCCTGCACATTTTCTGGAAAGAGCATTCATCAGTGAATCAAGTGGGAAAACACTGGGAACTAGGGATTTCATATAAAACTTGTAGTCTCAAAAATTAATTTTCCTTGGTATTCACAGTGGGAAGACTAAAAAAGTTTAAAACATTAACACACAGCTATGTCTAAGACATGCAATTATCTAAATGGCAAGAATCATTTGTAATTCTTTGGAAAGTTAAGATTAACACAAATGAAAAAACTAGAGAAATAAAAAGCATTGGTAATTCTAAGAAATGAAGATTCTGTGGTGTAGGAATAATTTGGGGAGGTCTTAAAGGAAGACAGGAATTCAGCTAGGAGGATTTCTAAGAGGGTATTTCAGGTGGGGATAACAACAGGCACCGAGAGGGCTGGAGGAATGAAGTAGGTTGGTGCTTGTGGGAGCAATGAAAAAAATATACAAATATTTTAGAACATTTTAAAATGTGCTTGGAACTCTACATTCAAGGAATGTATATTTTAAAATGATAAATCAAGAAGATCAGAGAGAATGTAAACTGTATTAAAAAGGCAATTATAATCACAGCAATTTAAATTAAAAATGTAAATAAATAAAGTTAGACTACTGTCTAAAAAGGCATTATAACAGAATGACTGTGAAAATTGCTCCTGGAATCAGATCAGAGCTCAGATCCTGGCTCTTGGCTCCATCCCTCACAGACATCTTGATCTTGGGCAAAGTACTTAAATGTTTTGATCTTTGGTTTCGTCAACTGTTAAATGGCAATAATAATAATACTTCATAACGGTTGTTGAGATGCTTTAGAAAGGCAATATACGTAAAAATGCATTGGAGCTTAGGATACAGTGGATCCTCTATAATTGGTGGCAGCAGAATGTAGTAGGCTCTGGATTAAGGCTGTTTAGATTCAATTATTGTCTCCAACACTTACTAATTTGAGATCATAGGTAATTAACCTAACTACTCCAGGCCTTATTCTTTCCTTCTAGAAAAAGAGATAACAGAAATAATCTACTATATCAGTTTTCTTTTCTCTGTATAAAAAATTACCACAAACTTGGCAGTTTAAAACAACACCAATTTATTAGCTCACAATTCTGTAGGTCAGAAGTCCAGGAGGTCTTGGCTGGGTTCAGATTTGGGTCACATAGGGTAAAATCAAAGTTTTAATAGAAAGATATTTTCGATGTTAAAGAAAAACTTTTTAGAAATAAATTTTAAAATACAAAATGATAAGCAAAATTAATAGTAGTACTGAATATAATTTGATCATATAATCTAAGATTCTACATCTAGTTTATTTATAAATGTTCAATAATATAATTACTATTATTCAATGTTTTTGCATGGCAAATTGAATGATGAAGTTAAACTTTCTAAATAATTTAATGGGGTAGAAGATAGAGAATAAAGATAAGCAGCTATTTAGAAAAATTATTTTGAAATTCTGTATATGATTATTATCTTATTATCATAGCCTTTCATCATCATCACTGTTTGCACACTACTGCGCTAAGTCCTTTTGTGCTTATACTTACCACAGTAAGTATAAGTAAGTTTGGTACTATTATTAAATTTATTTTATAGATGAGAATACTGAAGCTTGGCAAGTCACAGATTTTAATTGACTCAAAGGAGTTATAGGGGTAGAGACAGTATTCCTACTCAGGTACGTACTAAATCCACCATATACACTTGAATCCAGGTATGCTCCAGAATCCAAACCTCTAGCCAATAAGAATAATTTGTGAAAATTGTGTTAGTCGGTTTGGGCTGTTAAAACAAATTAGGGCCGACTGGATGCCTTAAACAACAAATATTTATTTTTCACAATTCTGGAGGCTGGGAAGTCCAAGATCAAGTCACGAGCAGATTTTGGTGTCTGATGAAGGTCCACTCTCAGTTTCCTGATAAAGAAGATGGTTGTCTTTTTACCATATCCTCATGTGACAGAGAGCAGAGAGAGATCATTTCTCTCTCTGTGTTTTTTATTATAAGAGCACCCATTCATGAAGGCTTAACTTTCATGACAGAATCACCTCCCAGAGGCTCCACCTTCAAATAGTATCACATTAGAGATTGAGGCTTCAATATATGAATTTGGAGGGGACAGAAACATTCAGTCCAAAGCAAAAATCAATACATTTTCTATAGTCCCCCCCTTTTTTTCCTGCTAGTTTATTCTGTTTTGTTTTAAAGCATATTTTTTTCAAGGTATTTTCCTTGTAGCACTACATCTTCAATATGTTAACAGGTGTTCTGAGCAAAAGCTTATCATAGTTTAAAAAAATCTGCAAAAAGGTAAATTAAACACTTTTGTAAAAGTATCTTAACCACAGGTCTTTTCAAAATATTAAATATGTTAACATTCACCATGAATCTCCAAGAGGCTGCTTTAATATCTGATGTTTCCCAAAATTATTTGATCATGACTATTTCCCCCCAGAAGCCTATTAACATCGTGGGGAAAATGAGGCCTGCAGAAAACAATTTGAGAAGTGCTGTCTTCAAGTGATGTATAGATTCATTTTTGGCACTTTAGGCACGTATTTGGAGAAGCTATAAAACTAGAGGTTGGATCATAGTAATTAGTAAAGGTCCCTTAGCACTTTATGTAGGGTAAAAGATTCACAACAGAGTTTTGTCCTTTTACTTATTTTATTTTTTAAAAAATAATTCAGTGTCTGTGTTATTTTAATTTTTCTTATATACCAATTCTGAAGAGGTCATATATGAGTTCGGTAAGAGTGAAATGTAAATTAGGTAAAGTACCTAGAATCTTCAAAATGAAAGGCTATGGGTAGATGATCAATATCAATAAGTGCAAAAAAGGGGGGGATAATAATAGACATGGAGCTATGGATTTATGACAATGTATCAATTTTCAATTTTTGATTGGAAATGGGACTTGAGAAAGTAGAGGTATTAAACTGGCAATGTATTTCACAAGTTGTCTACTTGGTAATATAGGATGGCATTTATTGTCCACACTCTGGGTATCTGGGCATAGAATATGCATTTTAATGCAGTCTTATGTCCTCTGGAATTTTTAAAAACCCTTCCTTAAATATAAAAGAAAGATAAATGTTTAGTAAAACACACTGTTGACAAAAAATAATTTAATTTCCTAACATGCTTAAAATCATATATTACCAAAAAAGTGAACATAACCAGGGAATAAAATAGGAAACTAAACAAAACTCTTAATCCACTCTTTTCTCTTAAATATCTCATCACAGACCAGTTTCTAATTTTACATGCTTGGAGATTTAATATTATCCTTTAGAAATAATACCTTAAAACTAAATTAGAATCTCATTTCAAATGTTAGAGAAGTACTTTAGGACAAACATGGGACAGACTGACTGAAAGCATGCTTTCAAAATTAAGTAACAATGATGTGCTAGAGAGTTGGAATTTGATTGTTTGAAACTACTTTGCTACAACTCTGCACAATGCTGCCTTAGTCTAACCTGTGGCTTTAAGCATAAAAATAGACAGTAAATAAATGCATATCTCTTTTTCTCTTAGCAGACTGATTTTTAAAAACTGTATTTTAACCCTCCCACCAAACATGCGATGGGAATAAACCTTGTTCTGATAGGTCTTTTTCCCCCCTATTGTCGCTGTTGCTTTGCCAGTGATACATTTTAACTTCTTCGTAGCAGTATTCAGTATTACTCTTCCATCCGCCTTGCATCTTGATTTCACTTTAGATTCCAAAGGGAAGGTAGAAATTGAACTTTAAAGGACTCAAGGAGGCACACGGAGATGAAGTTCCATGGATAATTGCCCTCTGTTCTTCTTTTCTTCTTTCAGATTCTTCTTTCAACTTCTTGCCTTCAAGAACGTTTCTTCCAATTTCTCTATGTCTGTATTTCTGTCTCTCTCCCTACCTCCCTCCTTAGGAAGAAAAAAAAAAAAAAAAGAAAGAAAAGAAAAGAAAAAAAGAGCCCTGTTTCATTTTGGTACCTGCAACTGATGGAATTGAATCCACGTACAGTAAGCAATCATTCTAACCGAAAAACAGAGGAGAAAGCACAATTGTAAGCCATGGGCTGTATTTTTGGTTCAATCACTTTCACTACAAAAAAATAGTCCATTCATTTTGGTGGATAGCAGGAAAATTTGATCCATCTTCGTGATGCTTCAATAATCTGTCCTTGCCTTCTATTTTCTTGCTCGGTCCCCAACTCCACTATTTCTCATCTGAGACAGATGTCCTCCTTAACGAGATGCATGTCTCCTACTCACTTTCACCCTTTAGCCCCTGTGAACAGATGAGCCCACAACCCTCTCTCCCCAGCCCTGGAGCTAACTAAACTGCAGACAGAACAGCAGAGCAGTCCTGTCTCAGCTGATTAGAGTCTGGCTGCCCACTAGGTTGCATTTCCTGAGAAATCCGGGACAATTCAATTTGAAGGGTTCTGTCTCTCACGAAGCTTTGTGCCCCAAAAGCCACTTTTCAAAATCTTAACTTCTTTTTCCTGGTTATACTGAGAAAGGAAGTTCAGGGGAATCCTTAACGTGGTTATTTACAAAGTCAAAGCTGGAAACCTAGAGACTCTCAGACACCAAGGGTGCACCTCTTAACCCCAGAGTCCCCGGTGTACAGGCCATGTAGTAACTTCAGAGGTGGTGGCAGGTGCCAGGGTGTGGCTGCGGTTGTCTCCCTTTTCTCTTCCACCAGAAGGAGCCTCGAGAAAGAGAGAAAGGGGGAGAGAGGGAGAGAGAAAAAGAGGGAGGGAGAGAGAGAAGGGGGGAGAGAGTGAGAGAGAGAGGGAAGGGAGGGAGAGAGAGAAGGGGGGGACCGGAGACCAGGGAGGGAATAAGAGGGAGGTGGAGGGCGGGGTGCGGAGGGTGCGGACGGGCGCCTGGGGGAGCTGGGAGCGCGCCTGTGAGGCTCGGGCTCTCACGCACGCCGCCTCTGTTTGTACACAGTGCGCTCCCGGCCGCCCGCTCGCTCCCCTCCAGCTCACGCTTCATTGTTCTCCAAGTCAGAAGCCCCGCAGCCGCGGCGGGGAGAGCAGCGCGAGCCGAGCGCACCGTCCGTCCGTCAGCCGGTGGCTCTGTAGCCCGCGCGGGAGACCCGGCGCCGCCGCAGGAGCCCGCGCCCCGCCCGCCGCGCCCGGCGGGGACCCACTCGCCGCGGAGGCTGAGCCCGCCGGCGGCTCCCCGGCGCTCGCTCACCCACCTCCGCGCACCGGAGCGCAGGCGAAAGAGAAGAGACTCCTCTCTAGCCACCACTCTTTCTTGCCCGCTCCAAGAATTTGTTTAAGAAAGAGCTGCGGGAAGAAGACGTCTCCTTGAATTCTTCAGCAGGGGCGGAGTCTACCACTGCCCTGCGGTGCCACCTCGGCTACACTGCCCTCAGCGACGACCCCTGACCAGCCGGGGTCACGTCCGGGAGACGGGACCATGAAGCGCTTGGTAGCCACCTGGCTCTTGGTCGGGCTCAGCCTCGGTGTCCCCCAGTTCGGCAAAGGTGAGGCGACGGGGCCCGGGCCGCTGGGTGCGGGACGGGCTGGGAGTCCCCTGGGAAACGCCGCCTAGGGGGCCGGAGGCGGTCCCTGGGGCGTGCAAGGGCGGCGAGCGCCGCAGGCGGCGCGGAGGAGGCGGCGAGTCCTGGGAGCCCCAGGAAAGTGCTCGCAAAGTCTGAGCGGAGTGCGCGGGGCTGAGCGGGGAAGAGAGTGCGGGGTGCCGGGGTGAGATCCAGGAAAGAAGAATGAGGGGAGGAGGAGGGGGACGGCGTTTCGGGTAACCGGCGACTCCGGGCGCACTTGGCCACCCGGTCGCCGGGCAAGCCCTCCCTAGGCAGTGCGGGCGAAGCTGGCCACTGACGCCTGGCGGGACTTTCGTGGGGACCGGAGCGGGGAGAAGGAGTGCTCCGGGGAGTCTTCAGGTTGATGTGGGAAGAGGCTGGGGAGCCGCAGGGCCGTCCGCCCCCGGGGTGCGCTGTGCTCTGGAGCAGGGCCCGGGCTGAGCCGTTGGCAAACCCGAACCAGGTTCTGGGAGTTTTGGTCGCGGGTGAGGTGGAGTCGGGTCTGGCAGGTCACATCGACTTTCTTTCGCCTGCCTATCCCAGGCGCGCAGCCTGGATTACAGCAAACCCCAGGAACCCGCCTCTCCTTTAACCTCAGGAGACTGGAGCTTTGCTCTGCGCTCCCTCCCGGTAGGAGCGTAACTATCGCTAATAGAGAATGGTGCGGTGCTAGCCAAGCCTCGCGCCCCCGCCCAGGAGCTGAAAAGTTGTAAAAGCTGGTCTGGTTGTACCTTCCATGACTTGCATTAAAAAAGAGAGAGAGAGAGAGAGAAAGAAAGAAAGAAAGAAAGAAAGAAAGAAAGAAAGAAAAAAGGAAGGAAGAAAGAAAAAAGCCTTTTAAAATTGCAGGAGTTCGATGAGCCTTCTGCCGAGTTGTTTGGGCGACTTCCAGGTCCTCTGGCGAGGTGTGGCTTGTCAATAAGAGCCCTGGTCCGGACCTGGGTCTAGCTGCCGGCCAAGGCTTAAATTGGAGCCACAAAAGGGCAGGGGGAGCGGCAGAGGCTCTGGGGAGGCTTGTGAGAGCTGAGCGTGCGTTTGGGGGAAGCTGCCCCTCCTGGCTCACCGATGCAGGCGGCCCCTAGTTCTGAGCGATCTGCGGGTAATAGAATCCTCTGCAGTCAGTTTCAAGTGGAAAGCTGAGTGCACTACAGGGTTTTAAATACTGTGCCTCTAAAAAAAGGTAGTTGGATTAAAAAATGCGTTGACTCAAATCCATTTGAGATCAGACACTGCATGAATATTCTACACCTTCCATCCATGATCCTATCCATCTGTTTGTTTCAGGGGAAAATTGTGGACTGTAGGGCGACTGTTTTTGCCCAAGTAGCTGGGTCTTGCTGGTCAGATGCCCTCGCAGATCTGGCAGTAGAGATCCATGGCTGCGCCTTCCCTGGGCCTCCTTCCCTCCCCCAGAATGAGGCTATTTTCCCCAGCGTGTAGGCGTGTGAGTAGGTGTGTACCTCGCCTGCGTTTACAAAGTGCCCTTCCAGCTATCTGGCAGAGGCAGCCGCTCCACTGAAGGTTAAGAAATGGTAATGGTTCTTGTAGTTGCTCAGCCCAGTCCCCAGAGATAGGGAAAAAGAGAGTGCTCCCACTGCCGATATTTTTCCTTTATCTTATATCCAGTCTGGATTCCTTCTGCACTTTGACCCCTTAGCAGGAAGGGAAAGGAGGATTGCAGGCACTCCTCTCTCCTCTTTCCCTTCCTTGTCTCCGTTTACAGCCCAAACACGAATACACACTCACCCACTCACACGCACCTACACCGTAGGTCCCCGCTCTGAGGTGGAGGGCGGCGGGGGTGGAGGAGAAGAAAGTGCATCTAGCATGCGTGGCGGAGCTAGCCTCGCTCTGTCTGGTTGCAGGAGCCCTGGTGCGCTGCGAGTCCCGGCTCGGCTCGCTGCAGACAGGAGCTCTGTCTCCTAAAGATACACACGCCGAGGGCGCCCCTTACTCAGTCAGACAAGCCTACCGTGGAGCTGTTGCCTGGGCTCTCCATCCTGGTCCTCCTAGACAATGCTCGGCCAGCTGTAGACTCCATATTCTTCAGTAGATTTCTCCTTTTTTTCAACCAGCCCGAGGGGAGAGGGAGAGGGCTTTAGGAAAGAAATGGACCATTTTGCATTAGTTCTTTTTGTTTGAACTTGCATCTCTCCAATTTTTTCTTCCTCACCTCTGCAGAAGGCAGAGTGTAGCTTGCGTGACAGCTCCAAACAATTAAACTTTGGGAAAACTTATTGAAGCCAGTGTCAACACTGAAAATGTTCCTTGCACTCCTTCCCTCCACCCCCATGAATTATCTGACGTATGTCTTTTAAAAATTAGTGTTTTCCTTATGTGTGGGTTGCCATTTGCTTGCATTGATGCCTGGGATTTGATAAGGTTATGTAGCTTCTTTTATTAGTCGTCTTTATTTTAAAATTAAACCAATGGATCAGTCAGATTGAATATTTTATTAACTCTTAAATTATTCATGGTTATGGGTTTGCTCTAAAAAATTCAATAATATGCATACAGTTGCAGCAAGCACGTGACATCTTATGCAATCTGTCCCTGTGCCTGCAGTTTGTGCCTCAAGTCTTTAAGCAAATGGCACTGTCTAAAAATGTCTAGACATGTCCTAAATACTATGAATCATTGGCATTTGCATTTTCTTTTTTTAACCAATGGCGATTTTTACTTAATTCTACATGAGAATAAATTAATATCTGAACAGTCTCACTTCAGATAATAAAACTGTGCTTTCCCCATGATTGGTATAGCAATATTTATGCCCAAATAACTGTTTTCTTAATTTATATTATTATTACACATTACTGTCTTCAATACCTTAGATGACCATTAACTTTATACTTTCAAAATAAGTGCTAGCTTCAGATTCAAGATGAAACATTGAAAACATAAATATTGAATTGAAAGTAATAAATGAAAATGAAGTTTTCTAATGTGTTGTGACAGTTTGACATTAATGCAAATTCTTGGCCATGTCCTACACTGTCATGATATAACACAGAATAGTTTCCTCTCATCCTGAAAAAGTTTTTCTGATTATTCTTAAATGTTTCCTTAGAATTAAAATGTATTTTAACTTTGTATAGCTTAGAGAAAACATTTAAAATAATAAATTGAGAGAAAACTGAAATGGTCTATTCTTCCTTTTTTGGCCTTGATGTTGCAGAGATCTCTAAAACTAGGCAAATATATTGTATTTAAATTAAAACTGTTCTGCTTTTCTCAACTATCTTGAGATCAATGTTGATATAAAACATATTCAGGATCTAGGATATTTTTAATAAACATTGTAATAAAGTTTGCTTTTCTCTCTGCATACATATGGTTTTTCCTTCTCAGAAAATTATAGCAATATAAAGTAAAGGAATAAAATATACATGACTAAAATAAAATAGCATTGTTAGTCAACACCATTACTTAAATAAGTTTGACAATTTTTAAGAGATGAAATTAGTAGTCCAAACTCTTAATTTTATTGATTTTAATTAAGATAAAGTTTTAATTAGGTAATTTATTCTTAAAAATTTTCATCATTTTAATAGTTTTGGATAATGGGATGGACTGTATATGTTATCATTTGTGTACAATTTTAAAAACCTGCCTTGTTCAAGAGTTTCATAAAGCCTACAAAAGTAATTCTGATATTTATTGTTTACTGCACATGCTTGCAGGTGCAATAGCTTTGAGTATGATTTATGATGCAGTAGGTTCATTGTATCCCTGCCAAAGAAACAGTGCAGGCGTCAGAACTCAGTTCAAGCCAGAAGTAAATCATAATGAGTAGGTACTGAGTAAGAAATAGCAAATTTTGCAACTGTATAATTAGTGGTATGGCTTCTCTCATAGCTAATCAATTTACTCTTTTTATTTGCTAAGTAGTGGGAAAACTAACATTATTATGAAGAAAAGTAGAGAACCAAAGCTAAGCCATTACTATTATTCATTTTTTATCTGTATTTTAAGGAAGATGCCTCGTATATTTGTTTTTGTTCTTGTTTGCGTATCACAATTCGTGTAATGATTATAATACCATTTGGTTAATCAAATCAAACATACATTTATAGACAAGGAGTTAAGGCTGCCCACGTGAAGTGGTGTAATTATTAAAGTGTTTCTCATTGTTTCCTATGTAATACTTCTAAAAATGAAGAACTATGACTACTTAAACTGAATGAATTAGCACTTAATTGTTTCTGAAAATGCCTCTGCCTCTGCGGAGTCTTTGATTTGAATGAGTTGTTGTAAAGTAGACCAGAATCAACTGTGCCCTCACCAGCAGGTGTCAGGATAATCAACGGAGATCTTTTAAAGGAAAGATGGAGGAATAAAAGAAGTAAACTTCTCTCACTCATTATGTGCACCATCTGGGGGACGGTCATGCTGGAAACTCAGACTTGTGGGGGGAGGGGGGAAAGGGCATTTATTGAAACCTTGAAATCTGTACCTCCATAATATGCTGAAATAAAAAAAAAGAAGTAAACTTGTAAATGCTAATTTGCAAATCCACATAAAGTGACTTTCTACTTTCTATGAAATTAATATTATTAGTTTTCAGCGATCCCCTGAGAAATAGAGGGAGGGCAGATTGTACAGACCTACTGCTTTCACTACAGGATTTTAACTTGGAAACAAACAACTGTTTGCCACAGTAACAACTGTTTGTTACTGCCACAGACAACCAAGCACACACTTAGATTGAACAATTATTTTTCAGGGGTCTTCTGAGTACCTTCCAAGGAAATACACAGAGATCTATGACAAATAATTATTACTGAGATTTCTGCCATACTTTCTAAGCACTCTCCGTACCAACTGGAAGTTTCATAAATAAAAATTTGGTTATATTGATTTACATGGATATATACATTCACCTGTTTATTAATGTTTGTACACAACTACCACACTGGAAATAGATGAGTGCTATACTTACC